CACCCCTCCCCCCCACACGAATGAGCCAGTGGCCTTTTAAAGGTTGTTTCAATCATTGTCGCTCCAAACAAGGCGAGACGCCCGCATGACACAACAGTCATAAGCGAATGTGGCCCGCACAACGAGTCTCAGTGGAATAACTCGTTTTCAGCCCAAGCTGCACACCCCTCACGAAGCGGTGCCAACACGCGCTCCCACGGCGCGAGCAGTCTTCACCCATACGGTGCTGCGTTATGATGGCGCGTTCGCAGCTTCGCAGCGCTCGCGTCAACATAAACGTGAGATTGCTGTACGAGCCCAATAACGTATCTCGCTCTCGGCAGGAGCGACACGCGTCTCACAGCAGTGGTGTCAAATGCGCGTTCCCGCGGCGTCAACAGTTTTCACACGCCTCTCCTGAACACATGCCAGTCCACATAGAGATGAATGTGGACCAGCAGCCAAGCGCAGCACACAGGCGCACTCAGAGCCCCTTCGAGGAAGCTTCGCCTGTCGGTCATGCGGAACACACTCCCGCGGCTCATGACAGCGGTTGAGGCGGTGGATATATTGACATCTGTTAAAACATGATGCACCACCTAAACGCGCGCCCACTCCACGGACGTTACGCGGAGTGGCTGCGAGTTTTTCTTGCTAGACATAGATGGCCAAAGCTGATAGCAGGGGTTACATGTTGCAGCCCGACCCCCTCCGTTCGGAGGAGTTTTTAGAGATGGTCCTGTCACCAGACCAGGTCTCATCCCTAAAGGCAGAAGTCCAGGGGTTCCCGACGGAGAGGAAAACACAGGTTTCCTGATGCATGCTCAATAATCCAGGTAGAAAAATCTAAAAAAGTTAAATCTGGTCCTCTGGACATTCAAAAAAACAAAACAAAGCAAATCAACAAAAAAAATGTAGAAACGTTTCGTCTCTCATCCGAGAGACTTCCTCAGTCTGAGGAGCTGTATTCAGCACAGTCTCTTAAATAGCACCGTCTCAGAGTGGATCAACCAGTTTTGCTGCTGACAACCAAAACCAGCTGATCACATTCTCAAGAAGGACCATCAGCCTAACAATGGATCATTAGCACACTGATGGCTGTTTACTGTTCACAGAGGGCTGAGTGATACTAGCAATATAGTGGTTGATCCACTCTGAGACAGTGCTATTTAAGAGACTGAGCTGAATACAGCTCCTCAGACTGAGGAAGTCTCTCGGATGAGAGACGAAACGTTTCTACATTTTTTTTTGTTGATTTGCTTTGTTTTGTTTTTTTGAATGTCCAGAGGACCAGATTTAACTTTTTTAGATTAGAAAACACAGGTTGTTACTCACGTTACTTCCTGGTTCCAAACGGACCGGAGGAACGAGACCGATGTGGACCTGTCAGTTTTTCAACAAGGCGATCGTGGGCAGACCGCTTCACATGTCGGCTCAGGCTCAGATGTTGATGTCACACCTGCTAATTCTGGGCTTCGCCATAAATTGGAAAAGTTCGATTCTCCCGGCCCAGACGATGGTTATCTGGGAGTGGGGCTAAACTCGTGTATTTGTTTATCACAGACGAGAATCAACTCGCTAGAGTCCAGCTCCGCCACGTAAGACCGGGCAGAGTAATAACAGATTTTTTCCATCATTAAGCTGTTAAATACGATGTCGTCAACGCAAGGATCTGGTGAGGCAAAAAAAAAGAGAAGGACGATCACTGTTCCTCCCTCCATGAGAGCAGACCTCCGACACTGGGAAAACCCCTGGTGTTTGTCGGAGGGAGCCCCCGTCAGCAGACCTACATCACACGTGTCAGTATTCACAGATGCACCGATGTCAGGTTGGGGGGTGACATGCCTATCTGAGCTGTAGGGGCGCTGTGGCTTTTCTCACAACAGCTCATATAAACGTTCTGGAGGGCTGCACGGTTATGAATGTGATTCAACACTTTGCTCCTGTGCTACAGAATCAACGCAGCAAATGTTACACATTGCGAGGAAAGTACTATGTTGGGCACACCAAAATCTGCTCTCCATCAGAGCAGTGTACATCCCCGGTGCTCTGTACAAGAGGCAGATATGATGTCATGGGGCATCCACGTCACGAGGAGTGGACCCTCCACCTCGGTCTGATGGCCCAGACGTGGCAGGAATTTGGCAAAGCGGCCGTGGACCTGTTTGCGACACGAGGAAACGCTCAGTGTCAACTATGGGCTTCACTGAGCCCACGAGACGAACCGCCGCTGGGGGGTGGACGTGTTCGCTCATGGCCCATGGCCCAAAACGATTTTACACGTTCTCCCACCTCCTCTGATATTACGGGTTTTTTGAACCGAGTTCAGGAGGAGGGATTGACAGCTCTCCTGGTGGCTCCCGTGAACGCACCATGGTTCCGGTTCTACGACGCCTGTTATCGGGGCGCCCGTGGAAACTGTCGTGGAGGGAGGACGCTCTCCTCCAGGTGGGAGGAGCGATCAGGAGTTACCCAGAAATAGGCCAGCACCTGTGGGTCTGGCCACTGATTGGATCCGCTTAGAGAGGATGGGTCTCCTGCAAGATGTAGAGGCCACCTCATGTCCACTAGGCGACATGCTGTTTTTTCTACAGCAGCTGATGGACAGAAATTTGGCCTTCAGCACAATTAAAACCTATGCTGCAGCCATCCTCTCCTGTCACAAAGGTTTTGCGGAGACAGAACAGCTTTTAATCACCCGCTGATGAAAAGTTTTTTAAAAGGAGTACACAGAAAGGTGTAGAGGCCATCTCATGTCCGCTAGGCGGCGTATTGTCTTTCTGCAGCAGCTGATGGACAGAAATTTGGCGTTCAGCACGATTAAACGTATGCTACAGCCATCTCTTCTTGTCACGAAGTTTTCGGAGACAGAACAGCCTTTAATCATCCGCTGATAAAACGTTTTTTAAAAGGAGTACACAGAAAGGTGTAGAGGCCATCTCATGTCCACTAGGTGGTGTGCTGTCCTTTCTGCAGCAACTGATGGACAGAAATTTGGCGTTCAGCACGATTAAGTGTACGCTGCAGCCATCTCTTACCAATCAGTTCATTTGATTAATAATCAGTTCACTTGTTATTATTAATCTGTTTACATTGTTCAGCCGTGAACCGGTTGGTTCATGGCTCCTTTCAGCATTTTTCCTCCCCGTTGAAACTTTTCTAGGGTGTTCATGCATTCAGAACGTATAACTACACAGCATGCGTCTGTGCATGGTACACATAATTACGCAACGCATCATTACGTACATGGAGAGCTGAGTGACAAGACGTTTTTTGGGCAAGCTTCCGCTTCATACGGTGTTCGAATGGACCCAGTGAGGCGAGGACCACATCTGCTTCGCCCTTAACCCACTAAGCGACAGCCTTAAAGGGCGAAGCCTATACGAAATAGAACGTTGGTTACGTACTGTAACCCCAGATTCTATGAGTTTAGGCGTAGCCCTTTAAGCGTTGGGCCTCACTGGCTCCTAAGTGGCTGAAGAAAAAGCTATTTGGGAGCCGATTACCTGCTCTTAACATAATATATACGGACCGGGTGGGGCCCACACAGCAGGTGGGCATGGACTAAATTTTTCATTGTAATGCTTCGCATGACGGGATAAACCCACTGAGCGACAGCCTTAAAGGGCTACGCCTACACTCATAGAATATGGGGTTACAGTACGTAACCAACGATTTTGACCACTGAAGTGTTGAAATATTTCAGAAAACAGTTTTATAAAACTGTTATATAGAAAAAAGTGGTCAAATGTATTTTCTCTTATCATTGTTAGTATTTTACTTGTCATGATGACATGTGCAGCAGTGCCTCCCCTGACTTCACGGCACTGTGGAAGAGGTGTTGGGGAACGCAAAGTCTGACAGTTTTGATTTGTTGGTAAGTATTTATGCTCGGATTGGAGTAAAGTCTGTTGATAGATTTTTAAAATTATTTTAATTGATTGACTTGAAAACAAGGTGTGTCATCTTTTATTTCTTTCTAGAAAACCTAATCAGTGGGTCTTAATTGTTCAGGCACAGTAAAAATGCTGCTCTTCAGATATTTCTGACTGAAAATGGCCGTCATCTCCAGGAATTTTATAGCAGATCATTGATTTGGCCATATTTGTTTATCTACACAAACTACACCCAGCCAAATGTAAGTTAATCATGTGACACACCTTCCACTTGGCTTTTGGCGGATTCAGCAGAGTGTTTTGTTTACAGTCAGTGCGTACCCGCATTTTAGAATTCCAATTCAACACATCTGCAAAACTACTGGAGTAAACTCTGTCAAACTGCACCATCTGATGAAGCTCAGGAGAACCTTTTGTTCTGTTGGAGTTCAGGGTTTGAAACGAGTACTTTTAATTTAGCAGCATTGACCTGTTTGATGTTGGATGGTGTGACAATAATTATTTAGTTAAAAGGCTGGGTCATTCTGTCATAACCCCAATCAGAATAAAAAAAGCAAAAGAAAATTAAAAAGCCTTGGGCATTTCTTTATATATATTCCATGACAAAAAGATAGAAATAATGTAAATCTTTGAAAAGGAACACCACCCACAGTGAAAACACAAATCAATTTTACCAGAAAATCTAAAAGCAGAAGTCAAGCATCTGATTGGCTTGTGGCAACCCGCTATTTCCTGCAAAAATAATGTGAAGAAAAAAAATGGCAATGGCGAGGAGAACAAAAAGTGGAAAAAGGATGAGCAAAAAAACATCAAACTAAGTAGGGAAATAAAAGTCATAGCTTGATGGAGGGCATGTAAAAGTCACACGGGGGCAGAGATAAATGAGAGAAAGCAGCAAGTATGAAAGTGAGAAATAAAGTGAGGAATGACTGCAAAGGATAATAAGCTCCGACACCATGTTTGAAATAGCCAGTTACTATGACAGCACGAGAAAGAACAGGAACATGTCTGTACAGTGTCTTTGCCAAATGCCTTTGAGATATTTCTAGTGTTTCTACATTCATGCATAATGTCCCGGCTGTAACGTCCATAAAATCTACAGATGTGTGGAGCTCAGGGACATACCTTGTGTAAGTTAACAGAATAAGGTGCAGGGTCCCAGGCCACCAGAGTTACATTCTTATAGATGGAGCTGGTGTTGAACTGATAAGCCGGATTTGCTAGAATCTGTAAAAAAAAAAAAAAAAAAAAAGACAGGTAAGTACATGTATAATTATATGTTGTGCTTAATTTAACTAAGTGCAAAGCAATATTTTAGACCTTTTGAAAAGGTTTTGCAGACAAGTTATAAACAATTAATAACTTACCTGTGGTAGAAAGCTGTTTGAACAACCTCAGTTTGGAGAAATAGTTTAAATTCTGACTGGACTGAACAGTTTGAGAGTGTCCAAAACAAAAGGGGATTTCTGCAATTTTAAAAACAACTCCAGCTTGTGCTTTTTAAACCTTTACACTGCCATCACGTTCACATACCACAGTGATTTACAAAGGATTATGTGGTTATGTACAAGTACAAACAGCTTGTACTCCTGTATTACTCCTTGTAATTCTCCTGTACAGCCTTTAACACTTCTGGCACGAGCATCCAAATATTTCTAAAGGAATCATAAAACTGAAGGATTTTTAAAACACTTTGTCTTGCCCTGCTTGGACGCTCCACTAACTTCCCAATAGAAACTGAATTTATTTTTGTTTATTTAAACAGAATTTGTTTAAAGAGCCATCTACAACAGGTAAGATATTAACCTTTTATAACCCTTCCACAGAAATTTACATCAAAACATACTGCTTTCAAATTGTTTTAGATGCATTTAACATCATTAACATCACCTCATGTCAGACATTTGATACACAGATGGATTGCACAACTATTTTTAATGTAAATTAAAATGCACAGAGAAAAAATGGTAGAGTTTACAAAAAAAAACAAAAAAAAAACTAAAGGTTATAGAAACCATCAGGAATCATTCAGTGCTGACAAATCAAAATCTTCCATTAATTTTACTTATTTTAAAGAATTGGTGTAAAGTGCTTAAAGATATGGCAAAAGTAAAAAAAAAAAAAAAAAAAAAAAAAAACAGAACATCAGAGCTGAACAATAATCTCAAACTGAAGATGAAAAATGTGCTGGAGTGGGCCCCAGTCATTTGTAATAAAATCATTGGACCTTGACATTTGAGACTAAAGATGTTAATAAAAAAAAAAATTGCTGGAAGTTTTTGATTTTTTTCATCACTGGTACAACAAGAATTCTGAATTATTCAAGAAAACCTCTGAACTCCTGCTTCTGCTCAGATTTGACTTTATTAACATTTTGAACTGAGCGTGGTATATTTAAATATTTTTACGTGAATATTTTCTAAGCAACATGTTTCTTAGGAAGCGCAAGCTTCAAAGGTTTTCAGTGAATTGCATGACATAAATATTTTATGATATATAATACATATAAATGTGGAAGTGATATTTCTTTTGAGTCACCCAAGGCCACACTCTGACCTACCTGTGAATTGATTATGCGGATTGTAGTTTTGTTCCCCACATCTCGCTCATAACCGTCTGTAGGTGCAGAATTGAACCGTAAAACTGCGTCATGGGAGTCTGAAAGAGGAAAACCATGAATTTTGTCAACAACGAGATGAAAAAGGAAATGAGCTCAGAGTATATTTACAGGTTACTGTGACAATATAAAGACAAGCAGGAAACATAAGAACCAATTGATTGCTAACATTAGATCAATTAGCTTCCAAAGGAACCCAATACATTAATGGGAACTATGGAAAGGTTGTAAACAATTAGTATATTACCTGTTGAAGATAGATCTTTAACGACCCTAGTTTTGAGCAATACTTTAATTAACTGTTCATGTGAACACTACTATATAAATAATAATACTTCTGCAAGAGTCCCTGTGTAATAGGAGAGTGATGGTTAGGCCTGTCACGATAACAAATTTTGCTGGGCGATTAATTGGCTCAGAAATTATTGCGATAAACGATAATATTGTTTGAAATTTACCAATAATTAATTGTCAAATTTTAAAAGAAATGTTGATTTGTTTTGCATGTAGTACCTTTTTTGACCACCTGATAGAAGTATAAGACTGTTTGAACCAAAGGATGAATAGTTGAGCAGCCTGTCTCTTTAAGAAAAATGGGAGGGAGGGCCCTTGATGTGACATGGGCTGACATGGCGACATGGCGACATGGCGAACGCTTGGTGATTTGAGCTCTTTAGCACAGCATTTTTCACACAAAGCTTTTAATTAAAAAATCAGTAAGCAAGTTCTCAGCTTCTTTTTCCAGAGAAAACCAACTTTTTACATGAAGGCACAGGTTTCAACCATGAATTTTTGGAGCTTCGACAAGACAGAGGGTTTTTCCAGAGGTTGGCCTGTTAGCTTAGCTTGTAGCTTAGCTTCTCAGCCTAGCTGCTTTTAATGATCCAAAAACGCGATTTTGGATGGTTAAATAGATTTTAAAGAGAAAACAGAAAGGGAGGGGTCAGTGAAGAACATCGGAGTTTAGCTTTTTGTCATCCAGTGTCTTCAGTAGAAAGAGAGACACAAAGAAACGATAAAGCCGATAAATGAAAATGAGGTCGATAATTTTCATTCATCATGCTATTAATTGATTTACTGTTTATCGCGACAGGCTTAGTGATGGTGATGTAAAAGTTTATAAAATAGCATTTGCATGAACAATTTTTTAATTGAATTTGTTCAAAGAGACATCTACAACAGGTAACATACTAATTGTTCATAACCTTCCCACAGAACCCAATATCAAAAGCTCGGAACTATCTCTTTAAGGTGTTTAAAAGTTTATAATGATTGTTTTCAGAGTTCCTATACTTCATCTGAGTCTTGATTCTTAGTCATTTGATTTGCACCAAGAAAACACATTAACTGGTCCAGATGTTGGTTATAGAAGGAGACAAATTCAACCACACAGGAGGCAAAGTCATCAACTTCAAACCGTGGTATCCAAAGACAACATGACATAAAGAGGTGTAAACTAAGCATGCTGGTTAATAATGGGAGACAGGCAGTGAGGACTGAGTAACTAATGTCGGACATGGCTGCAAGAACTAAGCTCAACTAAAGCCCAAACTATGACAGAGAGTTTGCAGCAGGGATGCAAATTCTGATCGCACTTGTTGTCAACAACATCCGTAAGGATCACAAGCGGGACTTAAAGTGCTCTCCAGTGGAAACTGAGGGATAAACAAACAGAGCTGAACTTTATGAAAATAGTCCCCACGTGGCTAAACTCAGAAAGATTCAGTTTAGCATTATTTTTATTGTTTATGTCCTTCACAGCCCACAGAAAGCTTCACATCTCTTTCCTAATGGATGGTTGCAGCAGGAACAATCAGCTCGTTTCAGCCTGTTTGCTAACCGATCCATCAGTTTCAGCCGTCCTGCTCTTGTGCTGAACTGACACTAGAATAGATGATCGTTGAGCTCAGACCTGGAACTCCATCAAAACCTGCTGCAAACGTCTGAGCCGGACCAGCTGGCCTACTCCTTCAGCGTAATATTTCACCATGTCTTTTGTCAACAAAGAAAAACATTTTCAAGCAGGAATCTTAAAGCCAAAAGGATTTTATTGTATTTCTTTTTGATAAAATTATTATTTTTTTTTTTATGCTGTAACAGCATCCGAGGTAGTTAGAGCAGGAAAGGTGATTTGTGGTGTTCTGCATTCATAGTTAGCAAACATAGAAATGGCCCAAACTATGTCAACTGAGCTAACATTTGGTGTCTTAATAGCTAAGTATAATCTCAAACAAAATCCGAGTGCTTCCCATTGTGCAAGATCTTTGTTTAAAGCTGGCATTAACCGTTGAAATCATTCCTGTCACAAAAAAAGTGAATAAAAAAGCGAGAAAAACAAAACTACAACTGATTAACTTTAGGATTAAACTCATTTTAAGATGGTCTCAACAGCTAACATAAAAACAACTATAACTCAGTCAATTTGACAAAAGAATTAGTTAAAATTTATGTTATTGTAGGCAACGTGCATTCCTCCAGGGAATGCTAGGTCTTTGACTATTTAGGAGTTTTTAATGGCTTTAAATCGCTTTTAAAATTCAGAATAATCAATCAACCTTTATTTAGACAGTAAAGGACAATAAAATGTCCTAAATAATTTCAAGTACATTTGACGCAGTGTAATTGGCTTTCAAATTAGAATCTGTTTGGGTTGAAAATATTTTAATGTCAATTGTTTTGTTTGTTTGAGATTTGTCTATTTCAAACGAGTCCTTTATAGCCACATATCCAGTCCACAGTTGTGCAACAGAAACAGTGAACCAAAAAACTCAAGACATTTATTGTAGAAGAATAAAAAGAGAGAAAGAGAAAGCTCTGGACACACAGGAACAAAAAAAGGGAGCTTTTAAAGTTATTATGTTCAATTTGGTCTAATGACATAATTTCACCTGCAAAGAAAATATATATTTTGCATATTTGTGTCATTCACATTACTACCACTAGAGGGCGCCACTTTACAGGTAATCTTTCACTGGCTAAATCATTACAACTAAAAAAAAACAATGAACACTAACCTCCAAATCAATGTCACACCTAGAATTAAATTTACAAACAAAAAATAAAATTATTCTTATTCTAAAAGCAATAAAAGGTAAAGTTAAAACAAATATATTAAAAAAATACCAATACATAAAAAAGCAAGGAGTATTTTTTAAACTAACAAATATGTTTTTATACTGAAAAAAAAAGCTTGTAATAATTTATCATTTATCACTCTAAATTACTTCTAATAAAACTCTCAGAGTCCCAAAGGTATACATTTCACAATCCTTAAAAAGAAGTCCAGGATGTTCCTTCTGTTCACCGACTGATGGCAGCCGCACACCATCACACTCCCTGACACAGAAAGAAACCAAGTCCTGAGTAACAAACGTCGACCAGAAAAGAGCTGAGCCAGAGAAAAACTGACGTGTACCAGAAATGCCAGAAAAATCTGCAGGTGGCTCAGGAAAAGAAAGAAGATTACCATCCATTTTTAAAACAAAGAACATCCGTAACCATTCGTACGTTTGCAGTGTGAAAGCCAATGAAATCAGGCTCAGGGCTGTTTGATTTCCTGTAGAAACTGAGCCTGAGAGTTAAAAATCACAGAATGTCAGACTTATTATCAAACACAGGGTCAGTTTTATAGTTAATTGGCTTCAAAAAAAGATATCTTGTTCATCAAATTGCATCCATTTTTAATGTTTTTCTTTTAGAAACCAACACCAGGATGATGACAAGCTGAGCCAATCCCTGCCACAGCATGTCATTAAGACAAACATTGCACACCTCAGTGCAGATAAACACGACTAATTATAGAGCGTTTTATTTTTAGATGGTTATTTCATACGTATAAAGTGAGAGTTCAGATGTTCTGAGGCAGGTGTCCGGTCAGGGAAAGGTTATAATCTATATGTTGCAGATAACTCTTAGAAAAAACACAGTTTGCTTCTGACCAGATTGACAAGCTAATGGCTAGTCAGAGACAAGCCAAGGGGAAAATGGCTTGCTGCTGTCTGAAAAACAACATTTTCATAATTAATCATGCAAAAATTGTATTAGTATAGTTTTTTAACATCACCATAAAGTTTACATTACACAGTTCTTTACATTAAATTGTGCTTAGTTATAAGCTCTAATAGTGGCAGCAGCAGCTAGTTGTATCACTTCTGGTAGGAATGTCAGGCCTGGTTTACAATACTCCATGTATTTTATTTATTTATTTACTTTTTGTTGGTTAATGTGTATTCCTCTGTCCATACATTTTAACAGTCTCTCCTGACTGTTAAAGAGTCAGGAGAGACTCTCTCTCTCTCTCTCTCTCTCTCTATATATATATATATATATATATATATATATATATATATATATTATTTTTTTAAACCAGGCCCGGCCTTCCTTTCAGCTATCAAAATAATTTTTAGCAGGTGGTCCTTGGCTCATTAGTAATTAAACACTCACCCCTGCAGAAAATTTAAAAATGGCAGTCTACATTTTGATTTACATAAGAAATAATGAAATGTTACATATTTCCTTGTTTAGTTAAGTTAGATTAGCCGTTAGCTCCTCAGTTTGGTCAATTCCCCAAACAGAGATTGTTCAAACAGCCATGTGTGTAAGATACTAATAATTCATAGGCTCTCTACAGAAACTCACTTTTAAAGACCTGAACTGTTCTTTTAAGTCTTTTGAAATGCTTAAATAACGTATGGGTATTGACATCCTCTGTGCATGAGCAACTACGTTGCAAAAAACAAACAAACAAACAAAAAACAAATACAACAAATACACCTACTAAAACTTAAAATTAGGATATAGCATAACTTACTAAGAACTGGTTCTATTTTACTGCAATGTCAAGTGCTCTCTACCTTAAAATAAAACAACACTAAATGTCATTTTATCTAATCGGTGTGTCAAAGACACTATGCCTTTTTAGCCTTTAAGGCATACCTGAATAGGTATTTAGTCAGCAGTTCTGTGAATTTGCAGAGAACCTGTTGGTGCCTTAAAGCTCTTTTACATCAAGGAGAGCTACAAGGAGAGCTACAAAGAGAGC